GCAACAAGTCTCAGAGTACGCGTCGCGTGCACGAACTCTTTGTTGAGTCACCCTTAATTTAGGAGGGGGGCCGTCGGACGTATGGAGTGGGTGGAAAGCTTGAGCAGCCACCATCGACCATACGTTCCCCCGAATTGCCTTGTTAGTGAATCCCAAACTTAGGTCAGCCTTTAGGTCATATTTATTTGCATCATGTTATTTAGACCTAGCAGGGCTCGGTCCCAGGTAGCGTGTCCCTTTGTAGGAAGCCTATCCAAGTTTTGTCAAAATGGGCCCGTGGCCTAAAAAGACATTCAATCATCCCTATGTGATACATGTTGCATCTTTGAGGGTAAAAGGTCATTTGGCGGACCGATATTTGGGAAAGTAGGGTGAAAAATGAAGCAAGTAGGGCTTAGTTGTATTTTTCTTTCACAACTTTTTCAAAAAAAAAAAAAGACCAAAAAATAAATTGAAAATGAAAAATTCAAAAAGATTTTGCACTTTCCCATCATTTTCCAAAAATTCAAAAAAAAAAGGAGAAAAAGAAAATCCAAAAGATTTTACATTTTTCAATCATTTTTCAAAAAAGACAAAAATATATATTTTTTTCCAAATTAGTATCATTTTTCTTAAAAGCTTTCTCCCATATCCAATCTTCCCGAACTACGCATACCTGATTCTCGTCTTTCGGGGCAGGATACGCAGGCAACCCACATAGGGTCTGATTTTCCTAGTGTACTAGGTTCTTGGCTCGCGGGGTCTTAGCCAAATCTTGCATGTCTAGCCACGTTTGGCCACATCGGATGTTTTTGCAAAATAGGGATATTTTCGCAAAATGGCTTGTTAACCATGTAATAGAGTCCTAAGCCCACAACAAGGTGTCCTCTCAGTTTTAAGGTCCATTCCTGTTGAATTTGCATGTCTAGCCACTTTTGGCCACATCGGCCATTGTTGCAAAATTGGGTCATTTTCGCAAAAGTGGTTCAATTAACCATGTCTTAAGATTTTGAGTCCACAACTAGGTGTCGTATTACTTTATGGTCCTTGCCTTTTGAGTTTGCATCTTTAGCCACTTCGGGCCATATCGGCCGTTTTTGCAAAATGGGTCATTTCTGTAAATTAATTTTGGGCCATGATTATTGGGAGTTCAAATCCATATAAGCATCAGTGAGGTATATCTATGTGTTTGAGGTTATCTTTGTTGAGTTTGCGCTAATAGTCACATTTTGGTTACGTAGGTCATTTTGCAAAAAATAGCCTTAATCATGCCTTGCATGTGTCCAATAGAAGGTGTCGTGGTGTTACATGCGTCTTGAGTCACTAACTCTATTTGATCTTATTTTTCCCATTCAGGTATGGATCAATTTGCTAGAGTTTGAGCATGGCAAAGACCCCAGGACCATTCTAGTCAAGACCATTGCATGTACGAGTTGCTTGAGGAAACTTTTTATTTTTTTAGTCTATTTATATATTTTTTTAATTTTTAGTCTTGTACAGTAGTATCGAGTCTGTCAGTCTAGTTAAGATTATCGAGACTTTTGTTATATTACTTCCCATTTTGTATTTGAAAAACCAAAACGAAAAATTAAGAAAGATCCAAAATAAATTTTGTTTTTTAGTTTATTTGTCCATTACTTTTTGAGAACTACGCTTGATCTGATTCATGAGGGACATGATACATAGTGTGACGACCCAAAGGGTTATCACCGTAATTCTTCCTTGTTCTGTGCTTCCGAGGCCTTGAAAACCTCGCTTTTAGTTGCCTCGATATTGCGTGCGCAGTCCGGGCGCGAAGCCGGAAAGCTTTTATGTTGAAATATGCGAATTTTGCGAGAAATTTGATGAATTTTGATATTTAATATGCATAATATTGACTTCGGTCAACATTTTGGGTAAACGGACCCGGACCTGTGATTCGACGGTCCTGGAGGGTCCGTAGAAAAATATGGGACTTGGGTGTGTGCCCAGAATTAAATTCCGAGGTCCCAAGCCCGAGAAATGAATTTTTGTGTGGAATTGTTTTCTGAAATTAATTAAGGAAAATGAAGAAGAAAATTGATCAGAAAACTATGGTATCGGGCTCGTATTTTGGTTCCGACACCCGGTACGAGTCTTAAATATGTTTTAAGCACTATCTGTAAAGTTTAGCTAAAAACGGACGTCATATGACGTGTTTCGGACTTAAAATGGGGAATTTGAGTTTTTATGAAAGTTGAAAGAAAATCATGTGTGTGAGGCTT